TGGGGGGACGCGGGTTGAGGGGTGGGGGTCCCTGAGGCCGGCGGAGAGGATGGGGGTCTGGGTGGGACGGTGACCGAGGGCTCTGGGCACTGGGGGTGCCAGCGGGGGCCTCAGGCGCGCTTTTCGTGCCCACCCGGTGCACGCCCGGGAGACAGTTGACTTGGTGGCCCCCAGGTTTCTCCTGAGCCTGGGGAGGGGGTGCTTGGAGCCCTTCCTGTGATGTCCCAGCGGACTGGGGTCGGTCGGGGGCTGCGTCCGGCCAGCGCTTGGCCCAGGCCGCTCAGCTGGTTCTCCATCCCCATTGCAGTGTTTGGAGTGTCCAGGGGCTACCTCGTATCCGGTCACACTCGCCCTGGGGGGTGGCCTCTGCCCCCTTTTTTTCTTGCCAGCTCAGCATTGACCTCATCCAGCAGGGATCTCTCTCCTGTCTCTCCATTCGTGTGTCTCACTGGGAAGTCTAACAGGCATCTCTTACTAGACTTTCAAGACCAAACTCTTGGCACACCTGCTCCTCCAGCAGCCAGCCCCTCTGTTACAGCAGGTCTGTCCCTCCTGTAGGGTCATTCTTGGATCCTCCCACAGTTAACACGCCCAGCGTCAGTGAAGCAGCGGGCACTGCTCTCAGCAGAAGGTGCAGAATCCAGCCACTTCTCACCTGCCACCTGGGCCAAGCCCACCCATCTCTCCTCCCTGGCTGATGCCCCCTTTGCTGCCTGAACGGGTTTCTCAGAGCTGCTGTAACAAAGTGCCACAGACTGGGAGGCTTTAAACAACAGTGATCGATTCCCTCCCCGTTCTGGAGGCCCGAGGTCTGAATCGGGGTGTTGGCAGGCCTGGTTCCTCGCGGAGGCTCTGGGGGAGAGGTCATCTCCGTCTCTGGGCTCCTGCTGCTGCTGGCAGTCCTTGGTGTTCCTTGACTGGCAGCCTCGTCACCCCTGTCCTGCTGCCATGTCACAGGCCTTCTCTCTGTGCCTCTGTCTCTTCCCTTCTTCTAAGGACACCAGTCCTGTTAGAGGAAGACTCTGTCTCATCCCAACTTATGTCTCAATTACATCTGCAAAGACTATTTCCAAAGAAAGCCATCTGCCCAGGTGCTGGGGGTTAAGACCTGGACCTGCCTTTCGGAGGACGTGGCTCAGCCCTCGGCACTGCCCTATCGCCCGTTCTCCACGGGCAGTCAGTATTGCCATCTTGCTGCTCAGATGTCCTGAGAGAGGACCTCGGAGCACAGTCCAGAGACTGCATTGACCTCCAGGCCCTGTCACCTGGTGGGGCGCCCCTGCCCCGCTGTCCTCACGCCCACTCGCCCCTCTTGGCCACTCCAGCAGGTCAGGCTGCCGCTCCCTCTGCAGTTTATGGTCTCCCAGCCGCATCCGTGCCGGGGGTGGGGCCTGTCTGTTCTCTGGGTTTTTGTCTCCCTGGTGCCTGACAAAACTGCTCACTAAACCCTCGTTGGAGCGGGATGGAGGCCTCTCAGGGAACTCCGGTGTGTGGGGACTGCTGGTGACGGGTAGCCAGCTGGGCAGGCAGGAGTGCCCTCAGGGATGGGCGCCTGCAGGGTGAGGGGAGGTCAGAGGTCATCAGGCAGAACCTGGGCACAGCTTCTGAAGGAGACAGCCCCTGAGCCGGGCTCTGCACGCCCTCCCCCGGCCTCTCTTCCGCCCTTTCCATTCTCGCTCTTCTCTTCCTGGGCCTGTTGTCTCTTCCTTCCTTTCTGGTGGGAGCTGGCAGGTGGGCCTTTGGGCAGGTGGCTGTTCCAGGTGATTCCACTGGGTGGGTGTGGCGGCCGGAGGGGAAGGGGTGACGAAGGAGGCTATGTGTTTGCAGGTCCTGGTGCCCTGGGAGCCACCGTCCCCTCCCTCCCCAGTCCTAAGGCTGTGGTCACAGGCTTTGGGCAGGGCTGTGGGCCACGAGGAGCCCAGGACTGCTTGTTGGTGAGACCAGGCATGCCATTGCCTGTTTCACGGCTCTTCCTGTGGGCCGCATCGGTGGTCTGACTGCTTGGCAGTCATCACTCCTGGGAGAGTGTGTCATCTCAGCGGGAAAGCCACACTTCACTAAGATGGGGCAAGGGAAGGAAAAGGCCGGTCCCGACGGGCCCCATTGTGCTCTCGGGCACTGATCTCCACGGCCCAAGGGCCAGGCCACAGCTTAAGGCAGGAAACCCCAGATCCCCGTGGAATGAGGCTTAGCAGACTGGCCTGTAGGCGGGCCTGCCGTGGGCTTCGTGATGAGTTTGATCAGAACACAGCTACGCCCGTCGGGTCAGTTGTGTCTGCTGCAGCGTTGTACTTGGATGGCAAACTTGAGCAGCTGTAGCTGGACCTTGTGGCCCAGGAAAGCTGAACTCTTTACTGTCTGGCCCTTCCTAGGAAAGTCTGCCGTCCTGTGTGTGGGGATGGCCCCATGGGGTCTGTGAGCTCTCCCTCCCCCAGGCCCCTACGTGGGTGGCAAAAGTGTGTGGAAGGGAACCTCGCGCCCAGCTCCTCCAGCCGCCTGCCCTGCACTGCGCAGGTCTGTCGCTGCCAGGAGGGTCTGCAGAACTCAGACCACACGGGGTCCCCGCAGGGTAGGCGGCCTGGGACCAGGAGGGTGGGGTTGGGACCCTGAGGGTCAGACGACCCAGGAGTGTTTGGCCCGCTCTGGGGAGTGGATGGTGCTGCTCCAGCCCCAGCAGGGCCATCCTGCACGTGTCTGCCCGGGGGACCGGCTCGCCACAGGACGCCTTTGAAAATAAGGATTAAGGAGGGTGACAGTGTGGAGTTCTTAGTTGTTTTGTTTTTGGTGGAAAAAGATCACCCTGTTCAAGTATATTTTTCTATCTTCAGGAGGTTTAACTGTCAATACTTGGCTTTTTTTGACTGTCAGTACTATTGACACACAGCTAAACCTGGAGCTTGAGATCTGTAAACATCAGATTCGTTAAATAAGATCTTATTTTTGCATGTTTTAACAGGAAAGCTTTCAGGAAACGCTTTCATTCTTATCCTGTGTTTTGGCTCGTCTTTTATAGATCTGAGCAAATTCTGTCTTGAGTTGAAGAGGCTTTGAGCCCTGGGGGGCGGGGGCGGTCTCTGGTCTGTGCTCCGCTCAGTGGCTGGCACCTAGTAGTGCTCAGTTCACCTGTCCCCATCGGACAGTGGGGATACTGTACCCCAGGGCCTCTGACCCAGGGCTCATCCCTCTAAAACCTTGCCACTTCCAAGTCTCCCTGACTTCTGTACCAAGCCTGTGTCTTTTCATAAAAGTGACTTGGCTATGTTGTAAGTTAGTGAGTTTTTTCTTTTAAGCTGGACCTTTTTAACGTGAGGGGGCTCACTCCCAGAGTGACTGGAAGTCAGATCACTGTAAGTGACAGCGGGGCCACGTATATTCAGCCTTCATTTCACTGCTGCTTGTCTGAAATGAGGCCTGGCCAGGCGAGCTAAGTTTGTGTATTTGTCTGGATGCTGATGGCTGGCGTCCTTTTGCAGTGTCACAGGGTTGACCGTCAAGAGCCCAGACGCCATCGGGGGGAAAAGGGTGCATTCTCCTCTAGGCACAGATGAGGGGATTGGGGTCCTGTTGCTTGCTGGCAGCTGCCTCGGTGGCAAGTGGGCGGGAGGCACTTGGTACCCGGGCTCCCTGTGGCTGCGATGACTGGGTCCCGTCCCTCTCAGTCAAGATGCTGCACCTCAGCCTGCCTTGGAGTTTGTGGCACTAAGAGAAGTGCTGGGATCTTGGAGCAGACCTGTGATGCCAGCTCCTGGGGACTTCTCTTCATCTCTCCCTGAGGTCACCTTGTCTGCATCAGAGGGCCACCCGCCTGGCCGTTGACCCAGACGGCCGGAGCTCTCGCCCTACCACTGCCCTCGGGAAGAGCTGGGGCCGTGGGGGCTTGGCTGGTTGTTCGCAGCTGCAGCTGCAGGTGCAGGTGGAGAAGCACCATGCTCTTTGTTGTCCTTTCAGGACCCCATCCCTGTGTCCACTGCCCTCCTTGGAGACACGTCCGATACGACGTCCACCGGCCTTGCCCAGCGCTTAGGTACGTACCCGCCGGGGCTGCTGGAGTGGCGGGTGGGGACCTCGCTGTTCGGTGGGGCCGGGAGGCGGGTCACTAGGGAGGAAGAGTCTGGATCTGGGAGGTGAACCCCCGTCATGCAGGGCAGCCCAGGCTCCTTCCACTGGTCTTTCCCAAGATGACGTGGTACCACTGCTGTGCCACATCTCAGGGCCCGCGTGCTCCCATGTCACACCTTGGCTGCCGTCCCAGCCGATGAGTGACTGGGATTGTCCTCCTCCCTCCTTCTTCGTGGGAGAAGAGGGTGAGTGATGCCCATGGTACCCAGCAGGCAGCGGCTCCAGGTAGCCCTGGGCCTCCTGGGGACTTGGTGGGGCCCGTGGAGCTGGAAAGACTGCCCTTCACCACACGTGATGTCCGTCCGAGCTCAGAAGGGAGACCAGCTTGCCCGACTATGGCTTTGAGGGGCCGTCGAGCAGGAGCCCGAGGTCGAGGACCCCAGCCTCCCCTGTACCACAGACGCCTGGTGGTTCAGGGAGGCCGGCAGGTGTGCGGCCCTCGGCTGTGCGCACTACCCAGGTGGCTCCAGGGACCGTGGTGGTTGGGCAGCCTTGCCCCCCGGTTGGTCTGCAAGTTCACGCGTGTCGCAGCCACTCTCGGAGCCCCGTGTCCTGGCAGGGGTGCGGTGCTGAGGCCCCGCCCCGGTTTTGAGGAGCGTGTGTTTTAGTTGTGGCGACAGTTTTGTCAGCCTGATTCCTGGGGAGTAGGAGTCTGTGTGCCCGTTCCCTGGGACACACACGTAGACGCACAGCCACACGGTGCCGGGGCACCGGCAGTGTGTGGAGGGCAGGGCGTCCCGGCCGGGCCGTGCTGAGGTGTGTGTGCAGCGGGGGGCACCAGCAGGCCAGCTGTGCATTTCAGGCATGTCCCTGTACTTGTCCTGCAGCCTGGATTTGGAGACACCTGACTAGGCAGTTCCCTCAGTAACTTGCTATTTGAAAGCAGTTTTAAATTTGCAGAGGAGTTGTAAGGCAGATTCAAGGAATCCCCGCTGGGTCGTCACCCAGTCCCCAGGCCTCCTTCCTTCTCCGCTGACGCTGTTGAACTGCTACCTGAACCACGTGGACGTGGTAAGAGGCGACGCCCCTTTGCCTCGCTGTGGATGTGCCCGCGTTTTGGGGTGACATCCGCAGCAGGCAGAGTCCTGGGTGCCAGGCAGGTGAAGAGGGAGGCTGCCTGTTTGCGGAGCTGGGACCAGGCGGGTCCCTGCAGTGTGGGCGACAGTCGGGTGGAGGAGGGCGGCGGGAGCGCGTCTGATGAGCTGCGGATAAGCTGGTTGTTCAGTGATCAGGATGTGCTCTCGGGGGCCGTCCCAGGATGGAGGCCAGTTTGTATGCAAAAAACTCGGGTCTTTCCTTTTTTTGTTGAGTTTTATGCAAATGTTGGGGCTCTTTTTAATGAACATTTTCTCTCATGGTTTGTGTTGATTTGTAACTTACTTGAATTGAAGCAGAACATAGGCCAAGGTGCTTTCTACCTTATGAAAGATACTAATGGAGGGCCCCACCTGCCTGTGTCAGCAAACCCAGAAGCCCCGGCCACTGGCCAGCAGGGATGGGCACGTGGGATGAGATGCTGGCACCCCAGGGGGACTGAAGACATGTGTGCTGAGATCACAGAGGGCTGTGTGGCCACCTGGAGCTTGGGGCGGGACCTTGCAGTTGGAAATCCATCATTCCCTGTCATGAGTTGTCTGGATGATGAGGAGAGACAGGTGTCCCAAGACAGTGTCTCATGGAGAGAGGTGAATGACCTGGAGGCGCAGGGGGCTTCAGTGTGGACGAGGCCCCCTGCCCTGTGGGGCCCTGTCTTAGCAGGGGGTGCCACGGGAATCAGTGGCCCCCCGGGACAGGGACTTTCTGACCCCTGAGCGCGGGAGGCGGAGCAGCTGTGACTGGCCGGCCCAGCTTCCCTCCCCACCCTCTGCCTCTGACGGTGGGACTGGGGGTTGTCTGTGGGGGGAGCCCAGGGAGGGGGCCGGCTCTGTGTGGCTAGCTCAGTGGCTCAGGCCCCGCCGGCCCATCTTCAGGACGCCGTCCTGTCCGGCTCTGGCCACGGAGCTGTGCTCGGTTTTGTGGTTGGAGCAGTTCATCTGTTGGTGGCTCTGTAGCAAGGGGCCGGGACGTGTGCTCAGCGTCAGGTTGAAAGTTAAACCTGTGTGTGTGTGCACACGTCTGCACACACTCAGGACACGTGTAGGGTCTCCTCTGGGAGGAGGCTGGGGCTGGCAGAGGGGGCGGTACTGAAGGGGGACTGTAATATTTTATTTTTACTGCTTGGACGTTATCTGTGTATGTAGAAAGCAGAACCACCAGCCGGTCCTGTGTGCAGAGCGGTGGGTCTCAGACGCTGGTGCAGGGTCCCTGAGGGCCATGCACAGACCCCGTGGGGCCGGGGACCACGCTGTCAGAACCGCTTCTCGGGGACGAGGGGGGTCCCGGTGCCTGTCGTCTGCGTTTGCACAGCTGTCCGTGGAGCTTCGGACACCGGGGTTGTCCTCTCCCCAAGAAGCCCCCCCCGTCTTCCAGGCCTTTCTCAGCCGTGGGCCAGCGTTGGCTCGCTGTGAAAATGTGCTTTCTCTTTTTAGCCAGGAAGACCAACAAGCAGGTGTTTGTCAGCTATAATCTTCAGAACACAGACAGCAGCTTCGCGTTCCTGGTGGAGAACAGGATCAAGGAGGAGATGGAGGCCTTTCCAGAGAAGTTCTAGCCGCGGGGCGGCGGCGGGGGCCTGGCTCGAGCAGAGGCTTAAATAAATGGACTGGAGCTCTCACTGCCCTCTTCGGGTTCCTGCGTCTCGGCTCGTTTTCCTGGGTGGGTCTCTCCTCCTCCTGCCCCTCTCAGGGTCGGGGAAGGCTCCCCTGGGTCCTGGGAGGGGTGAGCGTGGAGGGCAGACGCCATGGTCCCCGTGGGAATTGTGGGGTGACGGGGCCACTCAGTCCCCGAGAGGAAATGTAACAACTGTGCCAGGTCCGTCCTTGGGGATCCGCGTCCACCCTGCTCCCCAGGTCTCTCCGTCCTCTGGGCCCGTCTCCTCGCTGTAGGGGAGGAGCCCCCCCCCCGGGCTCTTGTCAGACGTGCTCTGGGGACCCTGAGCGCCGGGGCAGCTGAGACGCTGTGGTTTTACCCGCTCCCCTCCGTGCTCCCTGCCACTATGGCTTTCCCTCCTCTTCTCTCCCAGTCCCGGGCCTCCGCGTGGCCGTGTCTGTCCTTGGCCTCTTTCTGGCTGCCCCTTGAGGTGGAGGCCAGTCTGCCTGATACGCTGGCTTCTGGTCGAATTCCTGGGGGAGCTTTTTCAGATTCCCCTCCCTGGACTCAGACGGCAGGGGGCCAGGCTCTGTAGGGTTGGAAGGTCCCCTCAGCACTGGCGAGGTGAGGGCCGCTGGCAAAGGACTCTGACCTTTGGGGTCCACCTGGACCCCTTTTGTCACGAGAGGCTGTTAGTTTCAGGCCCTGTAGCACGTTTCCTGCAGTGACAAGGCTCGAGTTGAGCCAGTATAGGCTGCTGGGGTGGTGACACTTCAGCCGGGACTTCGTCAGGCCACTTCTGGGGACTGGGCCTGGGGCTCAAGGCACTGACCTCCGAGGCCCCGGTGGCTTGGAAGCACAGTGACGCCTGTCTGAGAGTAAGTAACACAAAACCAGGGCTGTGGACAGGAGTTTGGTGTAAATGCTTTATTAAAGAAATACTGCTTTCTTGTTAAAAAATACTACATTAAAGAGAGCTCTGGGCTATCAGTCTTTCCCTCCGTCACAGTGTAAGAGAACCCTTCCGGGACCTCTGGGGCCTTCAGGCCACAGGGCAGCAGGACATCGTACACGAGAGAAGAGAACTCAAGAAACCTGCCCCCATGTCTCAGGCGCTCTGGGGATAGCACGGCCCCCACCTGTGTCCGCCCACCTGAGGGACAGGATGCAGCAGGCAGAGAAGCCACCCACCGTCCCCGGGGGCTCAGGTTCACGGGCGCTGAAGTAGGACTCGGTGAGACCTGAATTGACAGTGTTTATTACTCGTAGTCAGTGGTGTGAAATGCCCTTCATTGGATACCATCAGATGAGGTAGGGAAGACATTCCAGAGGAGATTCGTTAATGGGGCAACATTTTTATTTCTGTACATTTACATACAAATTTCCCCCCAAGGTACAACAGCCGTGACATCATGCAGACATGAGCGTCGAAGGACATTTCAGAACCGGGTGCAGGTTTGTGCTGTGAACAGGCACCTCCAGGTGGTCCCGCCCACACGGGCGCTGCGCGGAGACCTCCGGGCGGGGCTGCGGGACGGGGAGGGCTGCCCCGCGTGCCCAGCGTCCCCACGCCCCGGCCGCCCTCCCTCGGCTCCAGGAGGTGGTGGTGTTGGAGGTGGTGCTGCTCCGCCAGGTGTCTTTCTGCTTGCTTTCCGTTCTGCGGCCGGACCAGCTCACCAGCCCCTTCCCCTAGTGGCAGGTGACTACACACTTTCAGAAGAAAAATTTAAAACTTATATTCTCTGTCTTGGGTGCTAATATGCAGGATGTCTCATGAGTAACCGACTTCCAGAAAAGAACAGAAAGCAGAAAGCCCTGGCCCTGTCTCCGGAGCTCACATTTGTGCCTGACTTTTATTGGAAGGGACCCCTGCTCCCTGGTGGTGAGGACAGGGTGCAGGAGCCGTGCTGGAG